CGTTGGGCTCCCTCGCACATGGCCACAGCTCACCTGTTAATATTTAGGTTGCACGCAGGTGCTCGGCACCTCGCTACCCCCGTGTAACCGACTGTCTATTAAAAAAAATCCGCTCCCACCGGGGGGCCGTACACCGGGCGCAAAACACCGCGCAATGCCACTTGAGAGCGAGTCGTGATCATTGCGGGACCGTGAGCAAGGCTGCGGCTGCGCGGAAACCCGGGAAAACCGCTGGGCCCAAAGGCCGACGTCTGGCTCACCCTGTCCCCCCACCTCGAAAGCGGCCCGGGCCGAGGGGGAGTGAGCTCACGATCCATGCAGGGCTTGATCTTATCGTGCATGTGTCGCCCTCCAGGCTTGGCCTGCTGTCGGGGCGGAGGGGGTGTCACCGCTGCCGTGCTTGTGTCCCTGCTATCACCATGGTCACTGCACGCTCTCACTTGGCATTGCGCAGTATTTTGCGCCCAGTGTACGGTCCCCGGCGGGGCCGGGCTCGGGCGGCCGCATCTGCGCGGGTGTCGTCAGTCTCTCATGTAACTTCACATGTAGAAAAAAAGCTCCGCCGCACGCTGGGTTGGGCTGCCTGCTGGTGACCTGCAAATGTTTCAGGGGCAGGGTGCGTGGTAGCTCGACATGAGGGTCGCGAGCGGTGACGCTGGCAACAGGGAGGCGTCAAGGCTGCTGCTGCTGCGGCGGCGACGACAGCGAGGCGTAGGCTGCGGCAGCCGATTGCGTTCGGGAGGGCGGCGGCCACAACGGCGGTGGCGGCATCGGCAGCGGAGGCGGCAGCGGTGGTAGCGGCGGCGGGGCCGCCGATGGTGGCTGGTCAGCGGCGCCGAGGCCCTGCGCCGTCGGCGCCGCACCTTTGCCCGAGCTACTGCCCGCTGGGCTGCCGCCTGTGGGGCGGGCCTTCTGCAGCCCGGCAGCAGGCCCGGCGCTTTTTCTCTTTCTGGGCTTTCGGTTCGTCTGCTGTCCTGCACAGCAGCGTTTCGCGGCGCTTTTTCTCTTTCTGTCTGGGGGCGGCGGGCTGGTCGCTCGTTCGTCTCGCCTGGTGGGGTGGTCCTTCTCTTGGCTCAGTAACGCTCTCGCGTTCCTTTGCTCTGTTCAGGGCGCCTTCGGCGCCGGCCGCGCTGCCGGCGGCAGCCAGGGGCAGGCAGCGCAGGGCAAGGGCCGACGTAGCTGTGGGGGGCACGCAGTTGCTTTGCTTTCAGGTCCTTTAGTATCATCTGCTCTTACACGTGATCTTGTCTCGGTTTTGCTTTGATGGTGGCCTCGCGCAGACACGGCGGGCGTGCCGGCCTGGCAGGTTGGTCAGGCGTCGGCCTTCGGGCCAAAGCGGATTTCCCAGGTTTCTCCGCAGCCGCAGCCCTGCTCACGGTCCCGCAAAAGATCACTGCTCGCTCTCAAACGGCATTGCGCGGTGTTTTGCGCCCGGTCTACAGCCCCTCGGCGGGGGCGGGGTTCCCTCGTAAGTCCTGGAGGGGCTGGGGGCCTCGTTCCGGTTGCTAGCGTGTTATTGCACCACATGCTGGCGACGACGCCGTGTCTGGGGCGGGCTCGGGCTGCCGCATCTGCGCAGGGGTCGTCAGTCTCTCGTGTAACTTTACATGTATACAATAATACAATTACAATGAGCAGGAATACAATTACATTGAGCAGGCGGGTTCGTGCGGAAGGGGTGACACCCCAAGAAGTGGAGCAATCAACCGCTGCAAGCCACCCGCTAGCCGGCCGCCTGCTCAGCTGCTTGTGCGCCGAGGCGTACTGTTGTCCTTGCCGCTGCCCCTGCAGGCCGTGCACGACGTGTGCCAAGACCCTTGAAGCGCACACCCTCACAAAAATTTGTCTCCTGTCCCGCCTTGATATCAGCTGTTGCAGCAAACCGCATCTCGTTTACGCTGGCAGAGATGAGCCACACTTGGTTGCAGGCTTGAATGCAGCCTTGGGGTTGCTGAAGACATACTTGGGGATGACCACGTGCACACCCCCTGCAAACGATGGTGTGATGTCATTGGTGGATGAACCTCCGTGCGCACGCATGGCCCAAGCGAGCATTTGCAGTTGTGCACAGCGCAAGTTGAAGGGGTTGCAAAACCCAGCGTTGCGATGAATAGCGCAGCCAATCAAATGCACTGACTGCGTGCATGAGCAGTACTGCTACACGATGGGCAGATTGCCCAGCGCAAGGGTGGGGCACACGTGACGAACACACGTGTGGTTGAGCTGACAGCATTGCAATTTATTGTTTGTGCTGTTGTGTGGTGTCGTTAGTGATCATTGTGGTATGAATGTTGTGAGTGTTTTTATTGTTGTTGTTGGAAGGGGTAGGGGTGGAGTTAGGTTTGGGGTGGGGGGGTTTTGGTGTTGGCAGCAGAAACATTGGCTGGACTCACAGTTGCCGTCGACGACCTGGGTGATGGCGAAATCGCCAGCTACAGTCAGCAGGGTGATGGCCTGGTCTTCAGTGAGCCCCTTGAAGCGCATCAGCCAGTCACGAGCATTTTTGTACGCCCCTGTTGTGTGAAAGGCCGGTGGCCCCAGCATTGGTTGGATACAGGGTGTTGAAAACTGGAGCGCCATGCGCAGCAACATATTTATGCAGCAGTTCATCCAAAACTTACTGCAAAGCGGCACATAAACCCTTGGCATTGCCACATCTCGCACCCGTCATGGCCTTGTCCAAGGAGCCGCCCTCAGAGAAAATTGCACTCTGGGGATTCTTCAGTTCGGCAAGGTAGTCCTGTGAAAGGGGGACGTCAAAAGAGGTGACATGCTTGTAATGATGGTCATTTAGTCATTAGGTCAGGTCCTTGTGAAAAGCACGAGGCCTTGCGACCAGCATGTCGGCCTCTGCTCATAATTTGCATGCCCTCCGTCCCTTGCCCTGCATCAGGCAGGCAGGAGTTCGCTGCCACACACAGTTTGCATAGGTGGACCCATTTCGAAGGTGCAATGCCCGACCTTCAGACAGGTTTCACACGTATACTTGCCTTGTACGCATAGCCAAGCACCACCCACTCCCCTGCGTTTTCCACCAGGGGGAAGTCCAAGCCCTTGACAAAAGCAGGCAGATTAGCCTTTTTGTGGAGTGTGATCTTGAATTTGCCGTTTACGGATGTCTCGATGCCTGAGGGGTGCAAATGGGCATTCATATGCAGGGGGCACTGTTGTGGAGGTGCACGGAAGGTCACAATTCACCTTGGCTGATACGCACGGAATTTATCTTCTTGCGAAGGTCCCAGCTCACATGTAACTAAACCAAGACGATCTTTTGTCAACTGGAGCCTGGTGTGCGCAGGTTGTGCATACGCAGTTCAAGCAAACTTCACTACAATACACTCAGGAGCTTGGCCAACAGCCTGCAGCCTGTGCTGGTCAACACCGACGAGTGCCATCAGCCGTTGGGGCGGTGCGAGGTCTCACTCACCAGTGCCATCCAGCTCCGAGTCACCTTGTGCAACATGAGCATCACCTAGGCAAGAAAACAATGACAGACAACTTGCTAAATCAAACTGGGTCATGTTGCTTGTTTGCGGCCTTTCAGCCATTGTTGTTGCTTGGTTGTGCGGGGTTGTGGTTGCCGCCTGATTCACGCAATCCTCCCCCCCTGGCAATGGCTGCCTTGCCTGGTGCCTATGTATTTGCCAGCTCCTTGCACTCTGTGGCTGGCCATGCACAGAATTGGAGCTCCTTGCACTCTGTGGCTGGCCATGCACAGAATTGGAATATTGTGACATATGCAACTTGCAAAAACAGAATTCACAGGTAATGTCCTGACAACAAATGCATTAAATGCTGGGCCGTGGGCGCATGCGCGTGATACAACACCGGGGGCACACACACACACACACACACACACACACACACACACACACACACACACACACACACACACACACACACAATGTGCAGGCAGCACCCTCACCCATCATGAGGAGGGCCCCGGCATTCTCGACTGGCAGGTACAGGGTGGCGCCCTTGCCGATACGGCGGTTGTCCATGTTACCTTGCGTGTGACAAACAAAGTAAGGTAGGCGTTAGCAAGGGCTGCATGTATTCAAAGGCAGGTGAGCTCGAGAGCTCCGCAGTGAGACGCCTGATGAGCAGTGGCAGGAAAGAGCAAGACGTCATACCCATGCTGTATGGCTCTTTTTGAGCCCCCTGAAATCTGTTGTTGCGTTTCTCACCGCCTGTTTTCATGGGCGGAATACTGTTGACGGCCATGTTGGTGTCGGGGACCAGACCGATGTTGCCAATGTGCTGCATGAGGGGGAAACATGCAGGTGTTTGGAGGCCATGCTCGCTCTGACGCACCCCGTGCGGTCACTTGCTACCTCGCAAACCCCCAGAGTCTCAGTCTCATTTTGATCCAACAAGAAATGACCCACCCCCGTTGTCTGGCAACTCCACTTGTGCCCCTCCTCCCTCTAAAGTCGAGGGCTTGGCCAGTGACCCTACCGCCCGTAATCTGATGGTGTATGATAGTTACCCACCAGGTTGACAGGGACCTTGAACTTGCCCCTGATTGAGTAATCCTCAGTGCCAGTGGGATGCTTGGTGATAATGCCCGGGTATTGGTAGCCTGAAGGGCGTGGGGGTTGCGTTGATTAGAATCAGACCGGACAGCACAGCTGGACGCTTGGCGTGGTGGACAAAAATGACGTGGTTGCTGAAATGTGTGGCTCCTAATAAACAAGAAGGTCGTAGGGACTGCCACCATGCAATTATGGACATGTGCCCTGAGCAGGCAAGCAGAAGACGGAGCAGGAAAGCTCACCGGTCCACTGCTGCTTGCCAGCAACGCATGGTGCAGGCACGCCTGGAGCAAAAACGTACTCCTTGAAAGACCCTGGGTTGTCCATGAGACAAGATTGTAATGCAAGAAGAATTTGGCGGTATTGAGGGGGTGAGTGTGCTGGCATGCAGAGCGTGGCATCTTCTTGTGTGCAGTGCCGCGCTGCTAGCAATGATATATTGCTAGCACTACTGTGGCAGCGATCCCTGCATGCACATTACAGGTTGAGGCTTGGCGGGGAAACTGCACAACCCAAGGGGCACCAGTTGCAAGCAACCCAAGGTATTGGAGGGCTCCTGCCCTGTACTTTCAATAATGGCATTTCATCAAACAAATACCAGAAGAAGGCAAAGTTTGGGTTGTCCATGAGCATTGGTTGAACCGTGGAATGAAAACAGCTGATTATTTAGTCTTCCATGTAGGACTCACACTTGGGGGATGTGCCATTGACAGCCAGACTGTCGGGCACTACTCCGCTCTTGGGCACGCATGAGGGGCTCAGGGGACCCTTGTAGGCTGGGGTGTTGCCATACTGTGAGCACACGCGATCATCGGGATTGGCTCACAATCAGAACAGCAGGGATACCCGCGGCTCAACAAAGCTAGACGGCGCAAGGCATGAGCATGAGTTGATGGTCTCTGACATTGACTTCAGCAACACAGATGAGAAAAATTGCTGCCCGTCCCGCCTGCCAGCGTGCAGTCGTCTTACCGTAAACTGGTAGTCGGGTTGGGCATACAGGATGCTGCCGTCAGGCGCCTTAATCACCTGCAGAGGAGTGGGAAGACAGTGCCAGCCACATTGCTGTCCCAGCTGCACCAAGTGCATCGTGCATGGCCCCACACGGGCATGCATGGGCGGCGGAAAGGAACACAAGAGCACGCACAGCATGCTATTTGGCCCACGGCGCAGCGCTTCACATAGCTGGATGGCAAGTGCACGAGCACCCAGAGCGTACTGCAGTGCATTGCACTCGTCAAGGAAAATTTGAATCATACGTGTAGTGAAGAGCAGACAGATCGTGGCAGAATTATTATCACTGTTTATGTTGTGAGTGTGCATGGAAGGCAAGTGTGAGAACTTATTGTTGTATGCATGCTTGCCTCATAAATAGTTGCGAACTCGCGCTTCTGTTGTCCAGTCTTGTAAGGCAGCCGGTACTGGTAACCCCTGTATTGTGTTTGTGGTGTGTTCGTGCGTGCGTGCTTGTGTGCGCGTGCATGCGTGCGCCGGTGTGTGTCTGTGTGCGTGTGTGCGCGTGTGTGTGTGTGTGTGTGCGTGCGTATGTAAGCGTGTGCGTGTGTGTGTGAGTGAGTGTGTGTGAATAGTGTGTACGTGCGCGCGTGCACGCTCGCTTGTGCGTTAGTGCATGCATGTGTGCTGCACAACATGGTGGGTGCGTGGGTGGGGGCTTGTGGGCGTGGGTGTGAGTGATGGGTGCATGCATGCTGCTTTGTCCACTCCAACCCTGTGGGTGTTTCTGAGACATCATGGATTGTCAGGCACTCGATGAAAGGCAATATCAACGTGACCCATCCAGGCTTGCGGGTGCATCCCTTGGTCAGTGACTGCGCTGCAACCCACCACCAAGCCGCAGCATTGGAGCCAAAGGTCTTTCCGCTTGCAGGGTTTGGGCGAGGCCACAAGTCCAGGATGTCAATCTGATGGGAGCGGGAGCAACTGAGTGTTTGCTGCAACCCACACACAACGTTGATGTGTGCGGGTCCAAATGCAACCAGCATCATAGCACAAGCTTGGGGCTGAGCAAGCGTGCATCCGGGCGGGCCGCAGGTTTTGGTGCCTGAACAATGATGCAATATTGCACTTGCACTGCACCTGTTGCGCTTGCTGTGTGTCAATAACAGGGAAGTAACGTATCCGTGTGCTGCCTGCAATGCATATTGGCAAGACGCAACATCAAGGGTGCCTCATGACTCACCTGTAGGACGTCGCCCTTCTCAGCGCCCCTCACATAAATAGGCCCTGTCAGCACGTGCACACCGTCGCCTGTACCCGTCGCGCCACGCATGGGGATGGACAGTGAGGCCCCCCACTCATAGATCGACTCAATCCCCGGGTCGCCCTGCAAGGGTGGTTTGACAGACTTTTCATACGACACTCCTACACATGAGGCGTGTATGTATGGTCATGTTGGGGGAAGGAGATGCTATCACACCGCTGAATAACCAGTGCAACATTAGTGAAGGGTGTGAACGAGTCACACGATGCCCCTGCTGGCCTTCAGCGGCATATTAGCAGAGCGATGCATGCGCTTGCACCCAGAACAACTGTAGGCCCGCTGCGCCGCTGGACACATGCTGCATGTGGTGTATGAGAGGCTGTTTTGCCACAACAAGAGGGGCTGCAACCTTGATCATCTTCTCGTAGTCGTCACCCGCATGGTGGGTGACCTGGCAGTGGGAAAAGGGGACAGGTTGCGGTAGGGTACTTGTGTGGCAGGGTGCTTATGTTTTAAGGGAGCCTCCCCCCAACGGAGAGATGGCGACTTTGGGCATGGCAATGAGTCCACGGTGCAAACACACAATGCATGCAGGGAACACTGCTCATGCAGGGAACCCTGCTCGAGGTGCGGCTGCTGGTCACCATTCGCATGTTGGGAAGTGTCTATCTGCCCGCACGATGTAGCTGGATTGCAAACCGCCTTGGGACTGCACCTAAAACGCAGCTCTCTTTGCGTGCATGCAATGCGCACCATTTCTACTGTCACAGTGTCGCCGCTGTTGATTGTCAGCTTGGGCTTGAGATTCTTCCAGAAGTAACCCCTGAACACATGTGGGAAACAAAGCAAATATCAGTCATGGGGGGGATGACTTGGCATACGGTGAGGGTATTCATGCTGCGGCACGGACAAAATGGGGCCAGAGGGGGTGCTGTCCAACCACTCCGGCGAAAACGCGGTGCAGCGTGGCGTTGCGCGCACCAGTGGACCGTCGTCTTATTGGCTCCGAGGTAGTGGGTCGCAGCGTGCACTGTGAGGAGGCTGCAATTTTCGAGATTCATTCATGAAGTCCTTCAGTGAGGCAGTCGCAGCCAGAGGCGCGAGCGTGCTTAGCTTGGGCATGCAGGCAGCTCGTAATTTTGATTACGGTCACCCGTGATCCACGTGCGGCATACCCGTCCTCCCCTACGCACCAGCACGCCATCGCCAGGAGTCTAAGGATTGTGGTTTTCGCCATGCCGCTGCCGAAGGCAGATCACCCCTCACTGGATCACGGGGCCGGGGCCCAAGTGCTGCACTGCGTTCTGCCACTGCGCTGCAGAGGGGTAATGCAAGAAAAAATAAATTGCCAAGAGAAACTGGACTGATGATTGCAAAAGGAATCGATGTGGTCAAGCGTGTCAAAGCCGTAATTGTTCTAGGGTTGTGGGGGTGTTGATGTTGTTTGTGGTGGTGCTTACTGGGCATGATTTTGTGTTGCAAAAGCTATCGCAGAGCCTGCAATTCCAGCAGTGCAGGTGCACTCAACGAACAAGAGTGTTCAGCAGGCCTGAGACCCCACTCATACCTACACCGACACCATCCCCATTCTCAGCACCACCACACGCGAGGGTGGATTAATGCGGCGCACATTAGAGATGTGCATGGGATTCTGGTGGAGGCCCGTGGACATTTGGTCAAATTGATGTGGTGCCAATTGAGAACACCCAGATCCTACACAAGCAACCTACACAGCATTATTCCAGTACGGGCTGGCTGGCGGGGGCCATGCGTGGGCCATATGCGTTGTTGCGAGCATCTGCCAAGGGCATGGTAACAGCTGCCCGCTGAGGTGATGGCGCCACGCTGAGCCTAGACATACCAGTTGCTTGGTGGATCGGCCTGCAGGCAAAACAACTGGACGGTGGGAGCAAACATGCTGCAGGACCTTCATGCCATATGTATTGCATGCTGGGTGCATTGCAGGTTGAGCAGCTATTGCTGGACACGTAAACTCCGCCACAGCCCTTGCAGTAGGCTGTCATCGGTTGTTTGCGCACACCACGGCACTGGCACAGGTGGCTGGTGCCGTGTATGTCCTGCTGTGTTGGGGGCATCGGCCGCTATGCACGCGCGATACACATGAAGGTTTTGATATGCTTAAGACATTTTAGTTCGACAAAACCCGATACATCTCCGCACAGATCCCTGCAGATCGCCCCCGTCCAGTTCTTCTCGTTTCTCTCGAATATGCTGGCGCTAGTATTACAATTATTTTAGGTTTTCGTTGCGTGGGTCAGTCTCAGAGCGGTTGGTGAGTTCGGCCTCAGAGCGCACACACCAGCAGAGCACTAGTGTAGTGCGCCGCAACTGCGTGCGCACACGCATGGTCGAACGGAAGGGCAAGCGGATCAGGGAGGCCCCTAACATATGGATTCGGAAGCCCGATGTCTACAGGCGCCTGAAGCGGCCATCGTGCGCTCCTGCAGCAGCGGCCCCCGTTGAGGGCGCGCACGTGGCGCCGCGTGCCACCAGGTGCGCGGCAGGGATTGATAAGCTCAGAACGCCGACGCTCTAGCTCACCCCTCAGGCTGGGGCTTCCGCAGCCTCGTGGTGCAAGCAGTAGCCGACCATATGGTTCTGCTTTGTGCCAGGACCGACACCGCAACCCCAGCCAGGGTCACGCCTCTGGCAACACCCCCTCCCTCCCCCGCCCTGGAGTTGCCTACGCCCCCCTACCACACAACCCACCTCAACCCCGGGTTTTTCGGCCGGCGTTACGCCGCCCGCAGCGTGGCAGCGTTTGAAGCGGAGGCGTCAGATGCCCTGCAGCAGCTGGAGGCGGAGGTTGCTGCGGCCTGCGCAGCCCTGGGGGCGGATGCAGATGAGGTGGGCCCCAGCAGCCCGGCCTCACCACCGCCCCGCACCGTAGTCGTGGCGGCGGCTGCGGCTGCTGCAGCTGCTGCGGCGGCCGCCATGCGAAGCACTGCTGTTTGAAGTAGCCCTGCACCCGCCCTCATAAATGGGTTGAGAGCAGGACTGCCATTTGCAACAGCGGGCCCTGGCCCGGAGAGTGACCGCCTGGCGCCTCCGACACTCCCCCCTGACTCCACACACCCAATCCCACACGCGCGTGCCTTTGCCCCCAACCACCATTCTGCCCGCAGGGCCGCCTGGACGTCTCAGGTCTGAGGCTCCCGCAGCTGCCCAACCCGCGGGACGAGCTGTCATACCTCAACAGCCTGGACCCCCAGCAGCTGCTCGGCGTGCGCGCGCCTCCACCAGCCGCCGGCGCCGGCCCCTGGCTTGGCGACGCGCGCGGCGCGGGCGGGCGTGCGCCGCCGCCGCCACGGGCGCGGGCGCGACACCCCGAGGGGCACGCGTTTCAGGCGGCCGACCGGCAGCAGGAGGAGGCGCGCTCGGTGGCGGCGCAGCTGCTGCACAGCGTGCGTGAGGCCCGGGAGCTCAAGGCGTCGGTGCGGCTGCCGCAGCCGCCGCCGGTGCGGATGATGCCGCCCAGGTGGGAAGGCGGGCCGCGGCCCGCGGTCGCGAGCGGCGCGGTGCCGGGGGACTGCGTCGTCATCACAGTGGCGGTGTGCCAAGCGCGGCACGACCACAAGCACGTCATGACGGAGATGCAGGTGGGTCGCCTGCGGGCGGGTGAGGTTCTGCTTTCATGGAGGAGATGGGCTGTAGTAGGTGATGCGAGGGTGAAGAGGGGGGTTGGGGCTGCCGCAGCATGGTGCTCTGGAGCGAGCGGCGAGTAGGCAAGCGCATTGAACGCTGGACCCCTGACTTCCAGAAGATTCATTGAACTCACCCTGGCTGTCTGCCACGCCCCCTATTGCGTGCCCCCCTGCCCCCCCTCACGTCCCCACACCCTCGTCCGGCCCCCGGCCCACCCCGCAGCTTCTCGGCAACTGCACCCTGGCCGACCTCCGCGACGCCATCCGCTGCCCCACCGACGCCATGGCCGCCAGCGCCG